TCTGTATCCTTCCCTTCAAGGCTCAGGGGTCCAAGATTATCTTCTGTGTCTGTGTTAATTGGTTTCCCTTTTCTTTGTTGAAGAGGGTCTGTGCATTCCTTCTGCCTAGTCTGCCATCTTGCCGGAACTCCACTCATAAGCTTTTAAAACTCCAGTTACTACTCACCAAAGCAGGATGAAGAACACTTGTTCGATTTACTATGTTGTGCCAATTGAGCTTGTTGTTCCCACCAACCATCATCCCAAGCCGAAAGACCCAGTGACTTACTCCCTCAAGTTTTTGATTGTGGCTAAGAAGTTACCCTGACTTTGTCCATGTTAGCTCTGTAATTTATGTGGACATTTTCAAACCACATGTAAGTACATATGTAGGAGTATCATCTGCCAAACCTGTATACAGTCATGAGTATATTCCTGATCACCTGCCCATACCTGATCTTCCCATGTACGTCTACCTGTGTATCCTCCCACAGTTTAGTGTTGATTATTACTGGTAATGCAGTATTATGTATGTAAAAATATTTACCTTTTTTGTCTATACCTCTTCTACACTTCTCCATGTCTTCCTTTTCCTTAGTGTTGGTTACACGCTTTATATTGCCTTTTCTTTCATACCAGTCTCAACTACCCAGCAATTTCCCTTCCTTTCCCTGGATGGTAACCAGCAAAGAAAATTTCCTTCCTTGTGTAAATTTTTCCTTGATTTTTTTTTATAGTAACAGACTCAGATAATCAGCCACTTGTAACAATTCTAATTAATTTCTTTTTAATAAATGTCTGTTGAATTAAAATTTGACTCCTATGTTAATGAAAGACAATACTTGTGAAGGAATTTGGAAATACATTTTTTATACACACACACATACTCACACACACACACATACTACCAATTCAGGGATCTCTGGTGGTGCTGTGGTTAAAACATTGGGCTGCTAACCAAAAGGTCAAAAGGTCGGCAGTTTGAACCCACCAGCCACTCCATGGGAGGAAAATGAAGTAGTCTGCTTTGATTTCTTTTTTGTCCTGTAGGGTCACCATGAGTCAGAATGTCAGGATTGACTTAATGGTGGTGTTTTTTTTTTTTTTTTTTTTCAAAAAACATAAATTCAAATACTGGAATGTGTGGAATAGCCTAAGTGTGACAAGCATTCCTATACTTCTTTGGTACTGCGTTATGCTTTAAACCAAATGCTTTAGTTGTTGGGTATTAAATTAGCTTCATTTAGGAAATAATTAAAACCTTGGCATGTGATTACTTTTCTTAGGTGGCTTGGATGAGGCGCTCTATAATGTCATAGCCATGGCACGGGAACAAGAAATTCCTTTTGTGTTTGCCCTTGGAAGAAAAGCTCTGGGACGCTGTGTGAACAAGTTGGTTCCTGTTAGTGTAGTGGGAATCTTCAACTACTTTGGTGCTGAGGTAAGAATTCAGAAGACATACTCCCTCATCCCCTACACCCCTCAGATAGCACATTTTCTGTGGACATATGGAAGTATTATGTTTATGCATCTGAAGAAGTGAGATGACGACTCAAAGAATGAGTGGAAAATTCTTGAGTATTAACATTTCTTTCTGTTTTTCCTGCTTCCCAGTAGAGGGAAAAACATTTATATAGTTAAACTCTAAGCGTTTTTGAAGATTTTAGCTTTTTCTTTCAAAGTGATACTTTCTCTTGGGCTCAACTAGGAGTACTTGATAATTTATTTAACTGCTGGGTAAAAATGTCCAACATTATAGAATGTGTAATAATCTTCTTCAGTGTGTATGATAGGTGAAGGAACTCTGATGGTGTAGTGGTTAAGGCATTTGACTGCTAACCAAAAGGTCACTGGTTTGAACCCACTAGCTGCTCTGCAGAATAAAGATGAGGCAGTCTGCTTCCATGAAAGATTTATAGCCTTAGAAACCCACCAGAGGTCACTATGAGTCGCAGTTAACTTGATAGCGAGTTTGGTTTTTTGGTTTGGTATGATAAGTATATTTTGTGCTATAAGGAATCAAGAGAGGAAAAAAAAATCCTTTAATTGAAGAGGATTTTCCTTTAGAAGATGAAATACCTTAATCAGTAATTGGAATATTTCTGGATCCATGATGCTTTCATATCCTTGCAGTTTGCTAATAAAGAAGCTTGCCAATAGGACCTGATAAGATAATTAACTTAGAGTAATGCTTATCAGCTGGTAGCATTTTAAGGTTTTTATAAAGTTTATTCAAAAGTACTTTGTGGAAAAATGATCAGAATTCCTGGTCAGGTTGAGTCTGGTGGAACCCCCAAGACTATGGCCCCAGATTGCCCTTGGGTCCTAGAATTGTACTCACTCCCATGGATTGACTCTCAGCCCAACAGTAGAAAGACCTACATGCAAAACACCTATCCCAAGGCAATGCACCCACCTACTGTCTAGGGAGATACACCCATTAGAGCAGTTGGCCATGATGTCCATTAAGGGGCACCAGAGGGACAGCATTTACATAGAGGGAAAGCTAGACAGACAGGAGTACATAGTTAAGGGTGCAGGGACTGGAGGAGAGGAGAGTTTGTTATGGTCGGGGATGGTAATCAGGGCATGAAATAATTGTACATGAGCTGTTGAATGTAAAACAAATTTTGCTCTATAAATTTGCATCCAAAGCACAATAAAATTTAAAAAGTAAAAAAAAAAAAAATTACTTTGTGGGAGGGCACACCAAGATGGTGAAATGAGTGGACATTCCCATTTACCTCCCAGCATCTAACCCACTACATAGCGAATAAAAACACAGATTGAGATCTTAGAGCTGTATGGCAGCTCAGGTGTTAGAGAGTCAGAGTGAGTCCAGAAGCAGGGGAGAGGAGAAATGAGAAAGCACAGAAACTGGGAGAACATATCCACTAACATCAGGAGAATGCGCTCCTTCTAGCCATTTTGGGATGAGGATGAACAGCGCTTCAAACAGGGAACACAGAAAGGGATCTAATCTCAGGAAGTGTGTAGCCCATTTTTTTAAGGCCGTGCAGTTTGGTTGCGGGAGTTTGCAGACTGTGCAATTGAGAGGGGTGAAAGAAGACTGTAGCGCTGTGAGAGAGTGCCTTCGAGTCTTGCTAACGCCTGAGATGGACAGGCACTAGGATCAGGAGGAAGTGCAAGGGCAGAAGGATGAGGAGAATTCTTCAGATGGACTGGCAATACAGAGGGAAACAGCTGGCTCCCTGCCCATAGTGGGGCACCATATGAGAGTCCGTGCAGGTGCACCCATGAGAGAAAGACATAGAGAGCCTGCCATCTTTTTCAGAGGAAAGTTGAGCCCCACCGCTTAAATCAGTCTCTGCAGCCAGCTAACATCCCCTGCCTCCGCTCATGTGTATTGAATTCCAGAGATCAAGCACCCAGCATTCTTAAAGCAGCACTGAAAAAAACCCTAAAGATAAGAGTGCCTAAGAAGATAGCAAGCCCATTGCTGCTGGATTGATTCTGATTGATAGTGACCCTGTTGGTCAGAGTGGAGCTGCCCCGTTGGGTTCTAGGCTTATGAGTCTTTGCAGAGGCAGGATGCTGCATCTTATTCCCACGAAGTGGCTACTATGTACAGGACCTGGCCTTTCAGTTGGCAGCTCTGTGCTTGGCCGCTTAGCACCAGGGTGCCCAATTAGAAAATTTTGCTACAAAAACAGAATACAAATTCTAAAGTTAAAAAAAAAAATCAAGTGGCTCAAATTCAACAGAAGTAGTAAAACATACAAAATCACAACATAAGAATAACCAGTCAGAAGCAAAACATGAAGAAAAGGAAATTTTTCTTGTGGAGGCCAGACTAATGCAAAGAATTGATAATTTTTAGATTGTGGTAAAAAATATGTTTAAAGAAAGCAAAAAGCACACAGAAAACATACTACAGAGTTATGGAAACAGATGGAGGAACAAAATTAGAGACTCAAAAAGGAAATTGAAAGCATCAAGAAACAAAACCAAAAGAGAACTACTAGAACTGAAGAATAAAGCAACTGAATGAGAAAAAGCAAGAGAAACACTCAATAGTAGAGTCGAAGAGACAGAGGATGGAATGAATGAAATAGAAGATAAAATAACAAATCTTAAGAGAAATGAGAAAAGAACAATTAAGTGAACAAAAGCAAAAGGAAACATCAGAATTACTGGAATCCCAGAGCTCTATGACAATGAAAGGCATAGAAACAAATTTCTAAGAGATAATCAGAAGAAACACAAAGAGATCAACTTTGTACTATATCCTAGTAAAATTCTTTTTTTTTTTTTTT